TGCTATAAAGCCTATCTGTGCTGTGTGCTTTGTTGCCACTGTGTGAGAGCTTTTTGCAAAGCCAAATTTCAGCAAATACAATGACTTCCTAGGGATTATCACGCACACTCCCACCCACCCACCTCTAGATTTTTATTTAAACTATGTTCTTTATGTGGTATTTACAGTGCATGTCATTCCCTTTTCCCCTTTTGTATCCACTATAGACCAGAAAATGTTTAACTCCACCTCATCAATGCCTCTTGAGGAGGTGCAAACAGAGGAAGCAATAAAGGGCTACCTAAGCTTCAGCAATCATTATGCACAATGATGCATTTTCAGTAGAAGGGCAGACATTCAGAGGGCTATAATATTACTCTTACTCTGCGTCTTATCCAGGGAACTCAAAACATGTTAAGAACATTAATGAATTAATATCTTCACAACATCAGAGTGAAGTAGGTACGTATTATGATACCCCACTTTATAAATGGGTAATCTGAGATCAGAGAAGTTAAGTAAAGTTAACCAAGGTGTCACAGTGAGTCAATGGCAGAGCCAGGAATAGAACCCAGGAGTCCTGATATGTAATCCCTGCCCTAACCACTATGCACATTCCCTTTCAAGGGGCTTTCCACTTACACTGATAGCATGGGTGGCGGGTATAATAGGCATGGGGAGGCTCCGCCTCCCCCAGCACTGCCACGGCCACTGGACCACCTCTCCCTCCCCCAGTTGTGGGGTTCGGCGGTGAAGTTTTTGTTTTATTATGCCCCATGCAGGTTCCGGGGCAGCTGAGGGGGCAAATACCACCACCTCAGTTGCCCCAAACCTGCATGGGGCATATCAAAAGCGTCTTAACAGATGCTTTTCCCCTGCGCGGGTTGGGTCCGGGGAGGGAGGCATGGCGCAGCTTTGACCAGCCCGGGGCTCCTCCAGCCAAGATGGGGAGTGCTCAGGGCTTCAGCCAGGCCGGGACTCTTGTGGCCCGGGAGGGAGGGCACTGTGGGGGGGGGGGGGACTTGTGGCTCCAGCCGTGGGGGGAGGGTGGGGAAGAGGGTCTCGGGGCTCTGGCCATGGGAGGTGGCACGGGAGAAGGCGCGGAGCCAGGGGCTAGCCACCCCAAAGAGGGGCTTCACCTGCTGCCCATGACTGATAGGAATTCTACATACACATTGAGGCAACAGTAGACTCTCTAGCATTTGCAGATTTAATAGTCTGTTTTCTAAAGTAAGTAAGAGAATATAATCCAGGCTTTCTTCTCTCCCAGATACAAAACTGAATTTTCTAGCACTGTGTAGAGCTAGACATTTACCATTCTCAGACCCCATTGACTTACACAAATTTGATCTTCACCCCTTCAATTTTAGATGAGGGGATTTTAGATGACAGAGTCACCCATCACATTAAAAAAAAAAGTCTATTTTTGCAGTTGCCGTATCATAGCAGAACACATGCCGATTATGTCACTGTTGAATTGAAAACCATTGTTTTAAACTCTAATTGTGCATTTTTTTCACGGGTTCACAAAGACAAAAGCATTTCATAGCATGGTAATTATTTTGCTTTTGTTCCATGTTGCAATATTCCTAATATATCTGTAAAATTCAAAGATAAGGTACAATAAAATGGGCTGCATGTAAAACACATTCCTCAGTCTCACCCTTGCATTAGGAATGTCAATATTTGTGAATTGCTCTTTTCCAGGTACTCTGTTATATCAGATTAGTTATGTTGGATCAGTACGTTGCTCCATAAAGTCCTCTGTTGGTGACTGTTGCAGGGATCTTATTTTATAAATAGCTACAGAACTAGGAACTGTTTTTAAGAGTGCAAAAAGAAAAACAAAAGAGCTCTCTGCCTCTATCAGTATTTCATTTAAAATATTTCTTACTCATTTCCTGGTGCAGTGGGGAATTTAACTTTTTTGTTTTTTTCCCCCCATCATATTTCATGCTGGCTGTCACGGTCACATCTGTGCTCTCATTTGTGTTCATTGAGCAAATACTCTGTGTCCACCTTAACAGAGAAGGTAGAGAGAGGGCAGAGCAGACATGGTTGGGCTAAGCAGAGGGTTTTCAGGGAGATGATAGTTTAGACTGAAAGGCTGCTGGAATTCCTACTCAGCAGCTGTTAAAGTAAATATAATAGAAATACACTCTCTAGTGAGGACACAAGAATTTCTTTAACTTAGTGTTGTGGAAAAGTTGGTGACTTTTCACTAAAGCCCTGATCCTGTACAAACACACACGTGCTTAACTTCAAGCACTTGTGGAGATCCATTGAAGTCAATGGGACTGTTCATGTGTTTAAATTCAATCGTATGCAGAAGTGTTGCCAGGATCAGGGCCTAAAATGTTAGTTTGCTGGCTCCTATAAAGCAGGAACACAGACATTATTACTGAGCACTCCACCACACTTTTGACTTTCACAGCATTTCTTTATCTAAAGAGAAGAATAGATGCAGTTGCTGGATGATAATTTTTAGAGCCTGGACTGACGCTTTCAGTAATGGGGAAATATGGTCTTCTGACTAGGACATGGGACAGGGAGTCATGGGACCTAGGTTTTCTTCTGGGGTTCTTCTTCAGTTTGTGTGTGAACTTGAGCAAGTCTCTACACATTTGCAACTAGATTTTGGTATCTAATATTTTGGGTTCCCAACTTGAGACCCTAGGGTCTGGGGGGCATTTTAAGAGGTACTGAACAGCCCAAGGTCCCCACTGATTTCAACTGCAGTTGTCTTTCTCAGCACCTCTGAAAATGAGGCACCTAAAATTAATGAACACTAGAAAATATGGGCCTTAACGTCTCTGTGACTTAGTTTTTTCAGCTGTGTGTTGAGGATAATACCACCAATCTTGGTGTTGTGACTTAATTCATTAATGATTTCCTTTTAAATCACTGGCTGAAAGATGCTCTTGAACTGTAGAATATCAATACTATTTTATTGTATAAAATTATATAATTTTCCCTAGCTCTCTTCTGCTTCAGAACTTTGGTAATAGAGAAAATAACAGTATTAAAAACAACCAAGCAACTTGGATTTTAATGTATCTAGTTTGGAATATATTTTACCCTTTTAAGAAAAAGGTTGTAATCAAATATTTTTGTAGGCCAAGATGTTCGCCGTTATTCATCAGCTACAAACTTGTCTTTCCATTTTGACTCACACAGGAAGAAATTTTCCAGTGTGCCTTAATTCTGTTAGTTAATTCAATATGATGCTAATCAGATATTGTCCAAAAATGCATAAATAATCTTGTGGGGGCATATCCAGAATATTTTTAAAGACTTGAATTCTTTGTGGGGGAGGATGTTTGAAGAGGATTTTGTACTATTTACTGCAATAAAGAAATTTAGGGATTACTAAGAGATCCTGTCAGTATTTGGGTCAGAAATATAGCCCAGAGGTATTAGTATGATAGGCAAGTAAAGCATTAGACTGTATTAGTGACTTAGCTATCATAATAGCACAATACTTCATCATGTGATGGCTAGTGCATCAAACATTTATTGTGGATTAGCCATAAAAATGCACAAGCTGTTCCCCCCCCCCCCCCCCGAACTCCCTAAAAAGGTGACTATTACTCCTTTTAGTAATTCAGACCTGAAATTTGCATATTTGTAGTGCCGACATTTTTACTGTAGCAGAGAAAGAAACAGATTCATTTCCATTTAAATTTTTTTAAACAGAAGTATTGCAGTGTAGGTGATGGTTGGTAAACAAAATATAATATTTGCTCTACTCTTGCAAAAACAACGACTGTTTGAGCATTTGCAGGATGTGACAGTTGATCTGTATTTTAGAGAATTATTTTAATATCTCTCCCAAAAATGGTAACCTTGTATGGAAAATTTTTGTATGTTTCTAAATAACAATTTTCTTTGGTGTGATTCCATCTAAATCCCTTTGCCTACTTTCAGCTTAAAAAGCCTAAGCCATATGACTATTGAAATGCTGCAAGATACAAAAATTGAGTTTTGTCTGATGTCTGAGTGTTTTTCCATCTCATAAACATATAGTTAAAGGAAACCAGGAGATAATAGACAAAAGTCTACTACTCCCTTTTTTTGCTTTGTAATACCAGGTTTAAGATCCTTTGATCCTCCCTTCCTTTACTGTGACCTCTTCTAGGGTCTTAAAATTATAAATTCCAGATTACACCTCCGCAATTTTCTTTCCTGGGATGATGAAAGGATTTGAGTATTATGATGATAATGTAAAGAATCCTTTTGGAGCTAATTTGAAACTGCAACAAAAAAACGTAATTTCCAAAGCAAATTACAATATTCGTAAAGTGTTCTACTGATACCTAAGAAATTTCTAGCCAGTGTCTTATATTCTTGAGTTTCTTGCATCAGCCTTTTTTTAGGCTTGTCTGCCTTCTTCCATTTAATTTGTCCTTAGCTGTGTGCTGTGGATTAGCATTTCATCAGGATGGATTAAGATTGAGCTGACACTGAAGCTTTCTTTTTTATTACTTATTTTTATATATATATATACATATATATGTATCATATATATGAATGTATATACAAATAAAATGTAAAAATAATTTTCAGAAGAGAAATTATATTGAGGTTGCTGGATCGGCTGGCGCAGAAGGTTTCATCGGGCTAAAGTGATGTCACATGGAACAAAGGCTTTAGGGGTTTTATTTAGCTCATAATCCTCACACACTGCTAGACCAGTTGTCCATGTGAGCAAACTGTCCCAAGCAGGAAGGGATAAACCATCTGGATTAAATGCAGCAACCCTTGTCTGTGACTGAACTATACAGAAAAGACCTTTCATTCTTCGGTTTTGGAGTGATACTGAGTTACAGTGGGTGTTGTGTGTTTTGTCTACTAAAGTTTCGAAGAATTAATAATTCAGGCAATACTTTGAAATATAAAACCACCACTTGGTTGTTTCTGAAGTCCCAGAAGAGCTCAGATACAGCTCGATCTGTTTTTGACGTGTGTAATAGAAGATTTAAAAAGAGAGGTTCCTTCTCTTCTTTATCTCAACAGAAGTCAATTGTTTCATTCCAATGCCAATTCCAAGTAAGCATACAAATATCGGCCGTTCTCAGAGCTGGGATGCTGCAGGATGGTATGAAGGCAACTGGGAGAATGAAAATGCATTTGAATATCAGAGACCAACAGGGAGGAGAAATTCGCTGACTTACGGTGGAGAAGGAGGTTGGTATGAGCAGCCAAACCATAGACCGCATGATATCATCTTGCAAGGAGGTGCTGAATTGAAGCAAGAGCCATACCCATATCAGGATCCAGTTTTTAACCAGGGTCCCTTACGGAAGGGTTCTGTTCCCGACTTCACTTACTACGACAGACAGGCTGCAATGTCTGGACGAAGCTCCTTGCCATCTCAGGATTATTACAGTGACCCATCTTTAGCCGCTAGATCACCTAAAGATCCACGCTACTATAGAGACCACATGATTAATAGATCATTACCGAATTATGGGATTCCCAGTAGCAGATTGGCTTGGGATCAGGTACAAGGACGGTCACCTGCCCAACACGAAGCCAGCCGTATGTATAGGGATCCCATGAGTAAAATGATCCAAGAGGGGCAGAGAATGCGAAACAGAGATCCTTCTCCTGCAAGGTATGGTGTTGAACAGCCCACCCCTAGATATGGAACAGAACCATCATCATTTCCCAACAGGCAGGTCTATAGTGATACAGCAGAGAGACCTATAGAGTCTGCAGCTGCTAGACAAACTACTCCAACGTGCTTGGTAGTCGATCCAAATTCTGCTACTGTTCCTGATGGGAGCATAGGTCCATCTGCCGTTGCTGTAAATCGTGGTTATGGACCCATCAGGGAAAATGTCAATGCAAAGATTCCTTATGATAGTTATGAATCTGCCATGACTCCTTCCCATTCTCAGATGCCCTCAGCTTTCCCAGGACAAGACATTAAAAGAAACTTTGATCCGGAGTTCCTAGCACTTCTGCGTTCAGAAGGCGTGTCCGAAAGCACATTCAGTGCTTTGCTGCAGCAAGGGTTTGATTCTCCGAGCCTGCTCGCGATGATGGAAGAGAATGATATAAAATCTGTAGCTCCAAATCTTGGACAGGCCAGGGTGCTTTTCCGCATTGCCCATAACTACAAAACAGAAATGCAGCTACAAAGGCATGATAGGAAGAACAGCACACTCCGTCCCAGGACCCGATCTAACAGCTTTAGTCATCGAAGTGAACTGCTGCAGAATGAATATGGCATGCACCCTGCCACGGGTCCTGGTGTAGACGGCACAACTATGCAGCAACCACCTCCTCCTTCTCTACAGCCAGTATCACCAAGAGTAGGAGAAATAAATCGTCGCCCATCCAGTGCCCCCACACAGCACCTTCTGGAAACTGCAACTTATTCTGCATCTGGGGCAACTCATCAAGGTGCTCATTTTCTAGCTAATTCTGGATACAACACTCCTTTACCATGCAACATGCACACTCGTCCAGTGTCTGCCTATTCCACTCCAACTGGATTACCAGGGACTACAGTGCAGACTAACCCACATGCAAGTCCCAAAACAGCATATCCAACCACTTACACAGTGCCCATGGAGCTGCTGAAGAGGGACCGAAATACGTCAATGTCCCCAATGCATAGCCCACACAACAGCCCTCAGCTTCTCCGAAAGCAAGGAGCCCAAATGGATTCCACCCTGGCTCTTGCTGGCCCAAGTTTTCACATGCAACATTCTCCTTATCAGAAACTCACCAGACGCACTGGACCACCAGTTATTGTCTCAACCATGGCGTCACCTGAACCAAGTAATTTTCTAAAAGTGTATTCATTAGTAGTGTGCTCTAGGAGAGTTATGTCTGTGTGTGTTTATCGTAAGATAAATTTGGGTCTAATCCAGTTAGATTTAGGGCTAAAATATTAGATACATCCCTATGCACAAAAAAGTGGGGCAAATAGGTTTACCCCAGAGCCACAAGTTATTGAGCGTTTCCAGTGCTGCCTTTCACAGTGCGATTAAATTCAGAGTATTTTATTTGATTAGCTAACTTCAGATAAAGTGACTGGTATATCAGATAATTGTTCTACTATGAATCTTGCTGTTCCTGTTGTTTGTACGGAACAGAAGATTAGATACTGCATTTTCTGAGCAATTAGGCTACAGGGTTAGTTGTAGATTTACTTCTTACAGTTGTTATCGGGCACAAATATGTTTCTCAGAGGAAATGGTTAGCATTGTTTTGCCTAAATTTATCAGATAGCTAATGGTGTTAGTTCCAGAATTGACTTACCTTTGGCAGTTACCATAGTCTTTTTTTAATTAATTTACTGTTTTATCAGGCACCTAAAATAAAACTCTTGATTTCCTATTAGGAGTACTTATAAGTGTGGCAATGTAACTATTAAGGAACTAGGTCGACACTTAATGTTAAAGTCAATGATTAACCGCTAGAATGATAAAAAGGAGCGGTTGCCCCTTTTTTCCTCCTCTTTTTGTCTTCAGAAATGTTCAGATCCCTTCCTTGTTTAGGGCTAAATGGTTCAAACAGACTTAGTGCTTCAATTTGGAAAATATAAATTGATACTTACTAGTCAAAGACAATAAAAAGTACCATAGGAAATGCATTTTGCAGTAAGAGGAAATTTAGAAGATCCCATTCATTTGTTACTTTGACTTTTCTGATAAATGTTAAAACCCCTTAAAAAAATTTTTTTTTTTGTGTGCACAGTGATAGTGACTGTATGGGAGGGAATTATTTCTCTGCACAGCACAGCTGAACCACCATACAAACACATTGTGAACAATGTACTGTACAAGCGCACGCATAAAATGCCTTAATAAAAGTATACCATTTATAGGCATGGAAACTGTGCCAAGCTAGTGATGACATTCCATGGGAATCTAAATAAAGAACTATTTTGCAAGTGGAAATGATAAAGTTGTCAAAATTCAGACCTCCCGCCCCCTTTCCTGCAATCACAGATTTAAAAAGTTGATTCTTCCTCTTTTGTGACTATTGTATTTAATTTGTGTAATTTATAAATACAGATCATATTTAAATATTCATCAACATGATGTGTATTGACATGATTCAGGCACAAAGGAAGGACATCCAGACAGGCTTTTTGAATAAACCATTTCCAAAAGCCTGAAAAATGAAACTGACATAATACTGAGAACACAAATGTTAAATTAATTGCAGTGCATCTGATCCAGCTGATTACTTTGGTAACATTGGAGTGAAAGTACAAGGGACTGCCGGGGTGTATACGTTTTGAATGATTTTTCCCCATAGGATAAATTTAACATTCCTTCCATTATTCCTCATATTTAAATTGTGAATTATGCTCTTTAAAAGTCTATACTATTCTCTTCCTTTTTAAAAAAAATCCATGTATGACAAGAAGAAACCAACAATGTTTCTGAGATCCTGAGCCCTCTTCTTCACAAGTCAAACATTCTTTCTCTACAACCAACTCATTTGCATGAGGATGACATTTGTTGCTCCAGTAATTTCATCAGATAATGGCCAGCTTGCAAAGCGGATCTGAAAACATATTCCTTAATTATGTGTTGCTAAGCAACGAGAGGGTTTGGTCATAATCACAGAAAGATTATCTTCTCATTGAAGTGGCTGAAAGGTTTAGCTGAAGGAGGACCTGTAAAATTGTCTTCATTTATTTATTTTGCATTTTATTTTATTTTTTTCAAAATAGAACAGGACAGGGCTTTCCCCCCCCTTAAAATGTAATTTTAAACTAGAAGTCAAGGTAAGATGTGTGGTGTGACAGTTTCAAGGTGTCTTAACTGTGTTGCGGAATTAGACTTTGAGAAACACCATTTTTATGCAGCATTTGGTGTTTACTACAATCAGAGTTGAAGGTGAACTTCCAAAATAGTCCTATGAGCATATTTCCCAGCATTTTCATGATTGAGGAGGAGCCTGGATACCTGTTTTGTAATTTTTGTATTAAATTTCTGAAGCTTTACGTAATTGATTTATGAATATCTTGTATTTTTGTAGTTGGAACAGACAGTTCAAAACAAGTGAGTCTAGCTGCCCTGCCCAAATGAGTATTTCCAGTGATGGGGGCTGGGAGAAAAAGTGAGGAACCAAAGGCCCATCTCAAATATGCAATTGGAAAATCATTCAAACTCTTGGTTATATGTACAGGACTGGAAGGAAGTAATCAAAGAAGATGTCATGTATTGTCCATACCTGATGAAGCTGGAATGAAGGATAAGGCTCCCATATAGTGGTATAGGAAGCTATCATAGTGGATTGCAGATTCCAGAGAGGATAGAGGTTTCATGAGAAGAAAGAAACTTGATTTTCCAAAAGGGCATAAGAGACAAACTAGGGCACAGAATGCCTCAGAATGCCTTAAATGAGAGGCCTTCCTGGAGTGTGGAAAGCCAGACAGGGTGACCGTAGTTACCTTGGGCAAATAGTTCTCTGTAGAGTTAGAGATTTGTCTTTGCTAACCAATATTCTCTTTAACATCTTAGAGCCCAGCTCTGCTTATATGCTGCCTAACACGTATTTGTGATTTTCTCTTTATTTTCTACTCTATGACAAATAAACTGTGCTTTTATTAACAATTGCCGGAATTGTGGGTTAAGGCTGTTAAGCTGGGGGGTAATCCAGAGGGAGGGAAGCAGAATTCTGACCATAAGGGAGGTAGGGTCAAAAGTGGGGTTCAGCATCTGGGTAAAGTCAGGTTAAGAGAATTGCAGTTCTGTTCCTTAAATTATACCAGGATGAAACTGACATAGAGCATTATGGGCACTGAGAGATTTTACAGGTGGTAGTCCTGATTTCATACATACTGAATTTTGTCGGGCTGTCAAGCGATTAAAAAAATTAATCGTGCTGTTAAACAATAATAGAATACTATTTATTTAAATATTTTTGATGTTTTCTACATTTTCATATATATTGAGTTCAATTACAACACAGAATACAAAGTGTACAGTGCTCACTTTATATTTATTTTTATTACAAATATTTGCAATGTAAAAAGCAAAAGAAATGGTATTTTTCAGTTCACCTAATACAAGTACTGTAATGCAATCTCTTTATTGTGAAAGTGCAATTTACAAATGTAGAATTATGTACCAAAAAAACCCGGCATTCAAAAATAAACCAGTGTAAAACTTTAGAGCCTACAAGTCCAATCAGTCCTATTTCTTGTTCAGCTAATCGCTCAGACAAACAAGTTTGTTAACATTTGCAGATGATAATGCTCCCTCCTTCTTGTTTACAATGTCACCTGAAAGAAAGAACAGGTGTTTGCATGGCACTGTTGTAGCCGGCGTTGCAAGATATTTACATGCCAGATGCACTAAAGATTCATGTGTCCTTGGATGCTTCAACCACCATTCTGTCTGACATGTGTCCATGCAGATGGCTGGTTCTGCTCAATAACAATCAAAAGCAGTGCAGACCGACACAGGTTCATTTTCATCATCTGAGTCAGACTCCACCAGCCGAAGGTTGATTTTCTTTTTTGGTGGTTTGGGTTCTGTAGTTTCTGCATCAGAGTGTTGCTCTTTTAAGACTGCTGAAAGCATGCTCCACAGCTCGTCCCTTCAGATTTTGGAAGGCACCTCAGATTCTTAAACCTTGGGTCAAGTGCTGTAGCTATCTTTAGAAATTTCACTTTGGTATCTTCTTTGCATTTTGTCAAATTGCAGTGAAAGTGTTCTTAAAACGAACAACATGTGCTGGGTCATCATCTGAGACTGCTATAACATGAAATATATGGCAGAATGTGAGTAAAACAGAGCAGAAGACATACAATTCTCCCCCAAGGAGTTCAGTCACAAATTTAATTAATGTATTATTTTTTTAATGAGTGTCATCACCATGGAAGCATGTCCTCTGGAACGATGGCTGAAGCATGAAGAGGCATATGAATCTTTAGTACATCTGTCACATAAATACCTTGCGATACCAGCTACATCAGTGCCACATGAAAGCCTGTTCTCACTGTCAGGTGAAAATGTAATGAAGAAGTAGACAGCATTATCTCCCCTAAATTTAAACAAACTTGTTTCTCTTAGCATTTGGCTGAACAAGAAGTAGGACTGAGTGGACTTGTAGGCTCTAAAGTTTTACATTGTTTTGTTTTTGAGTGCAGTTATGTATCCAAAAAACTACATTTGTAAGTTGCACTTTCATGATTAAAGAGATTGCACTACAGTACTTGTATGAGATGAATTGAAAAATACTATCTTTGTTTATCATTTTTACAGTGCAAATATTTGTAATTAAAAATAATATAAAGTTAGCACTGTACACTTTGTATTCTGTGTTGTAATTGAAACTGATATATTTGAAAATGTAGAAAACATCCAAAAATATTTAATAAACTTCAATTGGTATTCTATTGTTTAACAGTGAGATTAAAACTGTAATTAATAGCGATTAATTTTTTAATTGCAATTATTTTTTTGTTAATCGCGTGAGTTAATTGCGAATAATCGACAGCCCTAGTATATTGTAAATGTTTAAAAATTGATTTGTTCTTCACCGTATATAGTACAATATAGCTGACTAGTTTAGAAATAGTGTCCAGGTTTTGTTCAGTAAAATTTCTGTACGGACATTTAGCATGTAATCACAATGTGCATATGCAAGGCAGCTAGATTAACAATACACCCTGTAACAGCTCCAAAGGAAGCCTCTGTGTACCAATAAATCTTTTTTAATTTTCACATTGGCCTGACAGACCATAACAAGTCCTTTGGTGCCATTATGAACTATACTGTTAATCCAGGTGAGATACATACTCGCTATCTCCA